GTTTAGTGCTTATCGAGCTTGTTCGCGAACATATTTAACGATTTTTTTTAACTATCAAACAAATACGTTCATGAACATATCTATGAACAAACACATTTATAATAAAGCAATTGTCTATGTAACAAAGGCAATGATTATTTATATTTGTTAATTTTATAGTCAAATATTAATTATTTTTATCTAGCTTATTCACAAGTTTAAAATCGAACACGAATCAAGCTTTTATCGAGCTTCTTATCGAGCTTAATGTCGAGCTTGTTCACGAACTTCAAATGATGTTGTTCGCGAACATAAATGAGCCGAACACATTAGTGTTCAAGTTTGTTTATTTAAGAATCGAGTATTTAAAATATTGTTCAAGTTTGTTTGTTTAGCTAATTAAACGATCACAAACGAGCTTTAATCGAACCGAACAACGAGTAGCTCGTCGAACGTTTGGTTCACTTGCAGCCCTATTCGTGCTCCTCAAGGAGCGTGAGAGGGAGAGGGGACTTTCATTCGGCTCCCCCTGTTGTTTCATTCGCCCGTCTCGACCCTGAGAGAGCGAACGAGAGAGAGAGTGGGAGACAGAGGGCGATTTCTGCACCCAGGCTTTCGTTCGGCTCCCCCCTCGCGTGCGATACCTTCGGCCTAACCTCCTGAAGGTTTCGGCTCCCTCCCTGCTGCCTGTCGTCTTCCTCTCAACAAGCCAAAGCCGCAAGTGTGCGGCTCTCTTAAGTGAAGGAGGAGGTGAAGTTGAGGATTTGAGCTCTTCTTCTCATTCCAAGGAAGCAAATCAAAGGTTGAGACTCCCACTGACTTCCTTCTCAAAGATCAATGAATTTAGTGGCTTTTCCTCCTTCCTCTTTCAACTTCGGCGACCTCGAGGAGAGTTGGAAGCTATTCGAAGCTTCCAAACAACAAAAGAAGACTTCTAAATCCTCCAAACAGTGATTTAGAGCCTTCAAATCACCTTGGACAGCGACCTTCTTCCCTTGGAGCGACTTTAGAGCTTGGATTGGAGTTTGGACAGCGATCTGGAGCTTGAATCGGAGCTTGGACAGCGGGCCGGAACTTGGATAGGAGCGCTAGGACAAGCCGGGAGAGGTATAACGTTGAAACTTAGGCGAAACCTTAAGGCTCCCTAGCCAATGACATGTGGTTGACGATCCAAAGCTTTAGGTCCTTAGAAACTTTAATTTTTGGTCTCTTGAAATCCTATTTTTGCTGTCCATTCATTCAAATCATGAAAATCAAGTGATTTTCCATGATTTTCTCTCATGTGAGAGCTAAAAGATGGCGGCGTGGCGATGGGGCATCGAATTGGTGTTCAATGTTCCCATTTTTGCATGTTATATCATTCATGTCATATTTAGTGCTCTTACCTACGACCAAATTCTAGGTTTTGGTGGCTCATTCAATGTTCAATGAAGCGTAGGAGCGTGTAGTCTCTTATCTAAGTGTGGCATACGTTAACATACCCCTAAAACTTGCATGTTATGAC